CAGCCACGGTGTCAATTCAGTCCCTTGAGCATATTCCTCTTTTTGCATTGACCCTCTACTTTAGCAAACATGATGTCCTCCAGGGGCTGGTCCCCTCTGATGCATGTCCCAATGATGTGGGATGAAGTCTCAGTATCCTTGCTTCGAAGGACCATTCTGCAGATAAGGAGTAGAGTTCAATGTGACCCAGATCCTTTGAGCATAGATTTTAAGGTCCTTTGGGGTAGCTGGACTGAAATCAAACAAAATAATACAAATATGATGGTTGCTGCTATTTGTGCCATTAAAACGAAAGCATATATGTAATCAAATAAATTGGTGCATCCAGAAAGGTTAGAAATGGTGAAATGGGGAAGGAGAAGGGGCATTCGAGTGTTCAAAGCAAAGAAAACATCCACCATGCTCAAACGAGAGGGAGCCTGTGATATTCCTGGAAGTGAAAAGAGGCCAATCTGGTTGCAGAGGAAGAAAGGCCTGGATCAAGATGCAGCCAGAGTAGGAGGGTACAATGCTCTTCAGGAGATTACAGGACATTTAAGGAATTTTTGTTTTTATTCTCTAAACAGTGAAAAGTCTCTGAAGGATTTTAAGCAGAGGGGGATGTAATACATTTCTGAATTGTAAAAAGAAATCCATTCTGGCTTCTGTCTGGGGAAAGCATAGTGACTTGGAGAGGCATCGAGGGAGAAAGACAAAGCTTTCTACTTCCATAAAGAGTTAGAGTCTCAGAAAACCACAGTGGAAGTTCTCCCCTGTCCAATAGGGTTGCTGTGAGTCAGAACTGACTTCATGGCAGTGAGTTTGAGCTTTTCTTGTGTGGGAAAGGGGGTCATGAATAGACAATCTATGGGGATAATATAGTAGTAGTTCAGGTGAAAAAGGATGGCACAGGTGAACACGGAGAGGAGAGAATTAACTTGAGACATGGTTAGGAGGTAAAACAGATGATATGGCATGTAATTGGGAAATTATGAAAACTGCCCAGTATGATTCTTAGTTTTAGGGAGAGGATAGGCTGTCTACTCCTGTGAAGATTTGCAGGCTTGGAGACTTACAGGGGCAGTTCTATCTTGTGATCTACAGGGTCACTATGAATCAGTATTGACTTCATGGCGTGGAAGTGATGCCCCAGGGTGATGATTGATGATGCTCTCTAACATAAAATGGTAAGGATGTCTCTAAGGTGAACCAGAAACATATAAAAATGATAGATGCAACAATGGATTTGGGGCCGGCACTTAATTCTAGTCCCAATCTAAGAATAATTAGTTCTTATGACATGACCCTGCTTGATGCTTGCCCTTATGAAGAAGTCACTGAAGATATGGGAGCTATAGCAAATGGTGGTGAAGAAACTAGATGGTGCTCAGCTATCAAAAGGAATAGCATTTAGGGTCTTAAATGCTTCTTTTCAAACAAGCAAGCCCTCTAAATGAGGCATCAGCTAAGTCCACATGGAAGAAGCACACCAGCCCGTGTGATCCAATGACTAAGTAATGTAATCAAAATATAAAGGAAGGAATGGTTTCAGAGCTAAAACTGTGAGTTCTGGTTTGCAGGAGGCTATGGATGACAGATGAAGCAATAACACTTAGAGTAGATTATATGAAAGGGGAAAGTTGGATTACTTTTGTTTATAGTTGAGGCCCACTCAGAGAACCTTGACTGGTTCAACTGGTCTTCATGCTGACCTCCCTAGTTTGTTGAATGAAAGTCTATCTCCCTGGTCTGGATTTGACATCCATAGACTCAACATGGCCTCGATGAACAAGTCCTTCCTTGTCAGGAAGTGGCAGTAGGTGGTCTGCATCTACGCAGGCTGTTACAATAGACATAAGATCAGGGTAGGGAGTATCTGCATGTAGCTTCTTCTCAGTCTACAAGGAAGGTTTCATAGAGGAATGAGGTTTATGCTAGAGGAAAAATAAAGACTTAAAAATCTGATAGATTTTCTTAATTTCTTTTCATTACTGTCTGCTGACACCCTCCTTTTGTATGGTGAAATTCAGTTCAAAATATACATGATCATGGAAACCTACAGCCTGCAGGCAGACCTCAGGTACTAAAACTTACACTGACGCGGGATTAGTTTTCTTTTTGTATAATGGTACATTTTTGCCTTTTGTAAATAAATCCACACTCTAGGCCAGGGAGACGCTCGAAGATGTAAATTGTTTCCAAGGAGAATCAGTTTTGAAGAAACACAGAGTGCTGCTCTGTCACCACTGTTTTAAATTTTCCAACGATCCCGGGCAAGGCGCTTGTGTTTCCCTAGGAAGTGCTGAAACCTGAACTGGCACTAAGCTGCCACCCGCTCCCAGCAGGTTCCGAGCTGCATGTGAATGCAAACACGTTGCAATCTGGGAAGTGATGAGGGCCAGGGATCTTCTGCAGGAGGTGCCGCTTTCTCAGAGGAAAGGAGGAACTGTGGAGGCTTGCAATGTCCAACTCCAGCAGAAAGTCACACTCTCACACTGAACAACTCAGAGACTTCCCGGCCAAGCGACAGTCTGAGATGCTGTGCAGCGCGCTGTCCTACACACTGAGAGGAACCCATGCTCTGCTTTACTGACGATTCTCTTTCTTTTTATGCAACACCTTTCACTCATCTCTAGTTCTATTAGAATTACAGGAAAGTACCAAACATAAGATATCTGTCTTCTTCGCCTAGAGGTGAAGCTTTTGTATTTAAGTTGAGATTGATTGGAAGAAGCTCACCAGCCTATGCAACCACGAGGTGTCAAAGGGATCAGGTGTAAGGCATCATCAGAACAAAAAATCTTACCATAGTGAATGATGGGGGGAGAGCGGAGTGGAGACCCAAAGCCCATTAGTAGGCCACTGGAGATCCCCTTGCAGAGGGGTCTGGGGAGGAGATGAGCCAATCAGGGTGCAATGTAACAATGATGAAAAATACAACTATTCTCTAGTTCCTAAATGTTTCCTCCCCGCTCCCACTACCATGACTCTAATTCGACCTTGCAAGTCTGGCTAGACCAGAGGATGTACACTGGTACAGATAGGAGCTGAAAATCCAGGGAATCCAGGGCAGATGAGCCCTACAGGACCAGTGGTGTGAGTGGCGAAACAGGGAGGGTAGAAGGAGAGTGGGTAGGAAAGAGGGAACCGATTACAAGGAACTATATGTGACCTCCTCCCTGGGGGACGGACAACCGAAAAGTGGGTGAAGGGAGATGTCGGACAGGGCAAGATATGACAAAATACCAATTTATAAACTATCAAGAGCTCATGAGGGAGGGGGGAGCGGGGAGGGAGGGGGAAAATGAGGACCTAATGGCGGAAGTTTAAGTGGAGAGAAAATGTTTTGAGAATGATGAGGGCAATGAATGTACAAATGCGCTATACACAATTGATGTGGTAAGAGTTGTATGAGCTCCTAATAAAATGATTTTTTTAAAAAAAGGAAAAAATGTTGAGATTGATTATGATTTAAAGGTTTTTTCTAATCACAGAGTAGTGAGTGTGTATGTGCACATGCACATGTAGGTTGTAAAACACTGCCTTGGTGAATTATGCTATGCCCATTGACGTTGGCATTTCCTGAAACTATAGAACTGAGTTCCCAAGCCCACCAAATGATTCTCTCAAGGTGTTTGATTATGTCTGAAAATTTTTATAACCTTGCTTCCTGTATGCTCCACCATATGCATGGATATAAGTTCAACAAAGGTAAATATGCATAAATAATATTGTCTCTCAAATCTATATGTTCTTGTGTGTATACTCCTCCTTTCTGTGCCTTGTCTGTTTAAACATCTATCCACAGATCAATACTGTTACAGGATTGTGTATGTACCAGTATTTGACTCTGTTTAGGCAGTGGTAATTTTTGAAAAAAATGTCTCACGTGGAGTTAAAAAGCATTGTTTTAAAGAAACTATTATTATGCAATACAGTTGAAGAAATGTATCTATACTTACTTTTGAGGATGATGCTTTGAAACTCAAGTCTGAGACCACACAGGAAGTAAAAAAATCTTTATCCTACATTGATAACTTGGTGAATACTATTTCTATGTTTTAGGTTAAAATCAAAATTTTAATACTGTGTGTACTATTTTTTGAAATGGCTCTCCACCTTATGAAAAAATTCTAGCTAACTATCAATTCTGATAGTTTCAGAAGAAAAAGCTTGCATTCCTTTAATAGTGTAGGTTTATTTATACTGGAAAGAGAAATTGAACTCTCCCTCTAAGGATCATAGCTGAACGCATCAAATAGAGCAACCCCTTCCCCGTGCTGTTTGACCTCATCAAATCGGTTTACACAAGGTGAAATACAACACAGCCCTCCAATGGAATCTTTTGCTTTCTTCCCTAAAATGCTGGGAGGAGACCAGCCAGTCAGGGTGCAGTGTAGCAACGATGAAACATACAACTTTCCTCTGGTTCCTAAATGCTTCCTCCTCCCCACTATCATGATCCCAATTCTACCTTACAAATCTGGCTAGACCAGAGGATCTACACTGGTACAGATAGGAACTGGAAACTCAGGGAATCCAGGACAGATGATTCCTTCAGGACCAGTGGTGAGAGTGGTGATACCGGGAGGGTGGAGGGAAGGTGGGGTAGAAAGGGAGAACTGATTACAAGGTTCTACATGTGACCTCCTCCCTGGGGGATGGACAACAGAAAAATAGGTGACGGGAGATGCCGAACAGTGTAAGATATGACAAAATAATAATAATTTATAAATCATCAAGTGTTCATGAAGGAGGGGGGCGTGGGGAGGGAGGGGGATAAAAATGAGGAGCTGATACCAAGGGCTCAAGCAGAAAGCAAATGTTTTGAGAATGATGATGGCAACAAATGTACAAATGTGCTCGACACAATGGATATATGTATGGATTGTGATGAGTTGTAAGAGCCCCCAGTAAAATGATTAAATTAAAAAAAAAAGAAAAATAGTATCACTGGAGATGGTATACTTCCAATCCTGGGATACATCACCTCAGCAGACCCTAGAATTCTTAGCTCTTACTCACTTTTCTCACAGGTGAGTGAGTCTGAAATGGGTGGTGTCCAGGAATCCCCACTGCACCTGTACTTTGAAGGCCCAGCCACTGCAAGGCCTTTGGGGCAGTTTATCTCCATGGAGTCACCAATCTTATACACGGTCTTGAATGGGGAGAGGGTGAGGCCTTCCTGAAGAACTGGCTTGAGGCATCCTATCCCTGCAGGAAGAGAAGCATTTCACACGAGGAGCGGGAGAGCACAATTCCTAAGCAAATATGGGCAGACTTTATGAACGTAAAGAAGACATTTTGAGTGCGATTTAAGCGAGAGTGCGATAACGCCTCCTTTGGAGGAAAAATTGGAAGGTGAAGGATTTAAGGGAGTTTCTCAGCAAGAACAATAATTAAGTGCCTGACTCTAAACCCCAAAGTCGGTGATTTGAATTCATTTAGAGGCTCCTGGGGAACCAGTCCCGGTTATTCGCTTCTGACAACCCCGTGGATCCGTTCTACTCCGTCCATTCGGGGTTGGTGGGGGTCCAAAAGGACTCTGGGCCAAATCATAACAGCAAGGCCCCAGGACTCTTCCCCCAGGTTCCCTTCCTAGGAAACTGCCTCTGGACTCAAACCATTTTCATTACTTTATTCAGGTTTTTGCTTTAAATAAATTGTCTGCCTCTCCTCTCTAATGGGCAAGTCACTATATTGTAAGTGACACAGAGGCAAGACGTGCTCATTGACCTGAGTTCCAACTCAGCTTCATGATGCACCGTAATAGTTGTTTGGTTGTTGAATCGTGTTTTTTGCTTGCGTAATTTTGCATTTTACTGTCACACAGGTCTTTGCAAAGCCCACAAGCTCATAAGGGCCATGCACTCTTGAGAAGATAAGTCCTTTTACTACTTTTTTTCAGCAAGGGAGGTAGACTGTGCTGCAAGGAGTAGAGCTACGGGGAGAACGGCATCTCATGGAAATACCCATTTTGGATACAGGAAGATTATACGTATCATCTTCCCGAGATTCATCAATTTGTACCCCTTTGTGCATCGGCAAAGCAGATGTCTGTGGTTATATGTGGTTTGCAGACTTCCGGGCTTTCTTTTTAAGTGCATACTTCACAGCCTTATGAGTATGAGGCTAAAAAGACAAGGACAAGAGAACTGAAATATGAAGATATTTTAAAATCTAAGTTTAGCAAAGAGTCCTATTTTCTGCTTCACTAAATCTTTTTACCAGAGTTGCAGGGAGGAAAAAAAAAGGAAAATGTTCTGATTCAGGCTATAACTCTATTTATATTGTGTCTTCATCCTTTAGCGTAGCCCCACCCAAAGTCTGCTCAGGTTCTCACGTTGGCAGTGCACATCTCCTTGCCTCCAGGTTCGGTCTGGTAAGCATCGGAAGTACTGGTATCCAATGGTTCTGAATCCGGTAAAGCATGTAATTTCCACTTCTTCCCCAACCGAGTACAGCTTCTTTTCATTCTAGAATTAGCACAGAAGCAAACAAACATTGCTGTTGTGAATAATAAACCTGAGACATCTCAAGGTCGTGCTGGATTCTTTATATCCCTTTCCTGTTGTAGCTACATTGCCATAAAGTCCTATTTAAGTATCTCTCCTCTCCACTTTTCTCCTGACCTCTGCCACATATTATCTCTTGTCAGGACAGCGTTCTATCTAGTCTCTCAGTAGAAACTTCCTCTAATGCTCCTTCCATACTTCAGCTTTAAATTTATTTTTACGTAAAGGCTTGCTGCTCACTTGCTTTGAATTGAATTGCGACCCTCCCAAAAGATATACCGAAGTCACCAACTCTGCGCTTGTGAATGTGAACCTGTTTAGAAATAGAGTCTTTGAAGATGTCCTTCGCTAAATTAGTGAGGTCATTTTAGTCTTGTATGTTTAATGTCTTTAAAAAGAGGAGAACAGATACGAAGCACAAGAAACAAAGGAGGGTCATGTGAAGACGGCCGACCCATGGCCTCTGCAGTCTAAGGAATACCGGTTATGGCCGGTGGACACCAGAAGCTAAGCGAGAGGCATTGCCCCCTCAGAAGGAATCAACATACCCATTACGATGATGGGTTCCAGAAGTGCTGTTGTAGGTACCATTAAGTTGGTTCTGACCCATAGTGACCTTATTCACAACAGAACGAAGCACTGTTCATTCCTGCATCATCCTCACAATTGCTCCTATACCTGAGCCCATTATTGGAGCCACTAGGTCAATCCATCTCCTTGAAGGCCTTCCTAATTTTCACTACCCTATACTTTTCCAAGCATCATGTCCTCTCCCAGGGACTCATTTCTTCTGACAATATGTGCATAGTATGTACGATGAATCTCACCACCCTCGACTCCATAGGAAAACCCTGTCCATATTTCTTCCAAGGCAGATACGTTTGTCCTTTAAGCAGTCCAGGGTAGTTTCAATATTCTTCTCCAGCACCACAATTCAAGTGCATTGATTTTTCTGTGACCTTCCTTATTCAATGTCCAACTTTCACATCCATATGAGGCAGCTGACAATGACCATGACTTGGGTTAGGTGCACCTTAGTTGAGGTAGTTAGTTTATTGTGCCAACCTGGCCGATAAACACATGTGGGGTTAATTGAAGGGCGGAGAGATAAATGGCTGTTAGCCTCGCCTTTCTAGTTCTCAGGTCTCTTGTTTTGTGATAGTCGGACCAGGATGCAGCTGCGTTAGCCAGTTCCCTGTTTCAACTGACAAGGCTCACTTCTTGCAAGACAACGCTGAGGAGAAGCCACATGGACCTACCCTGATGCAGAGCTGGGTGCTGGAGCACCCGTGTGGAGACCCCTGCCAGAGCTGAGATGCTTACACAGTCACTGACTCAGCTTTCCTCCTAGAGTCAGCATCATTGCGTCTGTTTTGTGAGATGGAGGAGGACTTTGTGGATTGGTATTAGACATATGGTTAATGGGTTCATGTTGGACTTGTGGGCTAGGGCAGCACTTGGTTGGGATGTTTTCTTGATGTGCACTTAATCTTTATATAAAACTCTCTTATATATGAGTTTCTGTGGATTTGTTTCTCTAAAGTACCCAACTAATACATTAGTCCTCAAAGTAATATCCTGCCTTTCAATGGTCTGAAATGTTCTTGTTCAGCAGATTTACTGAATGCAACACTATGAGACACCGCATTTCTGTTCTTTGAAATTACGTGCTGTTGTTGGATACTGTGGAGTCGTTTCTGACTCACAGGGACCCGATGTACCACAGAATGAAATACCGCACCATTTGTGCTGCCCTCCCATTTTTATGCTTGTGCCCATTGTTGCAGCTCCTGTGTCAAGCCATATAATTGAAGGCCTTCCTTTTTTTTT